GTCCTTCTTAGGTTGATTTTTTCGTCCTGCTTGCGCATGGGAACGATCTGCGTGCGTTGTTTCTTTTTGGAGCGCAGGATATTCTTCTTGTGCTACAGGTAGTTCACGTTGTGTTTCAACAAGCTATGGTCCGTGAATGAAAGATTTTTTTCTTGTAAGTGCTGCCAGGCGTACCTTGCAATTTGCATAAGAAGCAGGATGGTCACCGAGACAGTTCGCACATTTGGTGGGAAGTGTGCCAGGGCATTCTTTGGACGAGTGTGGTTCTCCACATCTTTTGCATTTTGTTTTCCCCTTGCAGTACTTTGCAATGTGGCCGAGGGCCTGGCAGTTGAAACACCTTGGAGGTGCTGCAATGTACTCGGTTACTTCGTGCCGTGTGAAGCCGAGGTTGATCTTGTCCGGTCGCTCGGTGTTTGGACGGAATGTTAGAACCACTCGGTCGGTCGGTTGGGCAACATCTGTTGCATTTTCGCGTCGCTGGTAGAGCCGACGAGCGGCGATCACACCGGCTGGTCCCAGAAATTCGTTAAGGTCATTATCAGTGTACCACTTTGGTACCCCTTTGATTAGACCGAAGTTTTGTAGGTACGCTTTGGGTATTGTTGCTTGTACCGGGATCCCACAAAGGGAGTGCACTTTGAGAAGTCGATGCACAGTCGGTACTTCTGAGACATCAAGTAAAAGACCTCCCCTCGCTGTGAAACGATGTCTCACGATGGGCGCGCCAGCCAGTGTCTCTACTTCAGCAGACAATTTCAGCGGGTTTTGTTGCTGCAACCGCTTATCCTCCTGCACGGGCGTTAGCAGGACTGGAACCCCTGTCGTCCTCTGTCGACGATGTTGCACTAAGGTGAGCTCAGAGTCCTCTCCGGCTTCCGTCTCTTCCATTTTTTCCGGGTGGTCGTTCACTGATATCTCCTCATCATCACCGTCTCCCGTACGTCGCTTAGTTTGAGGGCTTACTTGTGTTCCATTGTAGGTATGGTCTGATTCGGTAATATCCGAGGTCGTGGCTGGGGGATGTCCATCGGCACAGGACATACCAGGTGTACCCCTGCCTCGAAAGGCCAAGGTTGACTTGAATGGGCGTCTTAAAATATACGTGTCGAAAAATTCAAACAAGAGAAGAAAAAATGGCGACCTAGTCAAATAGGATTCTTCTTCCTCCCCCTCTATTGGCACCAGGGATAAGAAATGTATGACAAGTCCTTGTCTTTATCTAAAAATTAGTTTCGATTTCTGAAATGCGGTCCGAGTAGATAAGAATAACAAGGTTTTTTGTGACTATATTAGCTTGTCAATTTCAATAAACTTCAGTTATTTTTTTTATTTATTTATTTATCTCGAATGGACGGCCGTATTTTTGGAAAAAGTCGAGATTGAACCAGGCCGACAGGCGCGTGACCTTCAAGATACCTAGTTCCCTCCTCTCTTCGCTTCGCTCCCTCAAGGCCGCGAGGCGGAGAAGACGCGAGGCCGTTCCCTCTCCTTCTCGGAGAAACATGACGTCAACATTCCTGCCAAATGCGCCTCTTTTTTGAAAAATTCGGTCGTCCGTTCGAGAGATCGCTGTATAAGTGACGTTTTGGTGTTTGTAGCATCCCGTTGCGCGCTTTTGCCGAGTGTTTTGGGGAATCCAGATTTCGGTTCAGCATCCCTTTACAGGGCAACTCCGGCCAAAAGTCAAAATGAAATAAATTATTGGTATCGATGTAGTGACACAAAATACGACCCCAGCCAAAATATCACGTCCGTCGGACGCCGCATTCTCAACTAATGCCGATAATAAAAATGCGACCCGCCGCGAGCCGCTGCTCCTTAGCGGGCGGCCAGCGGGTTGCCGATCGCTAAAGCAACATTGGGCCGTGACGTCCATATCGTTCTCTTTTTTTCCCTCCGGTCCGGGCGTTGCGCGCTTCTTTGAGCCGCTACCACCGCTACTTCGGCTCGTGATTGGCGTGTTTACTCGTTGCTTTTATCTATAGCCCGTGTAGCTTCGGTATTGGCGACGTGCGCGACCGAAAGCTTCGCTGTGGTCGGCCTTCCACGATTGGCCGAACGCTGACTATGACGTCTTAAAGGGGATTTATCATCGACAGAAATAAGAGGAATGGAATAACTTTAATTTTGACGTTGTTGGCAGTGTTCCTTTGAGAGCGCAAGGATTTCAAGCTTCCGCCATGCTAATAACAAACACCATCGAACTTGTTTGCAAGGTAATGACGTCACAAGGGGGAACCATAGGAGGGCGCCACCAAAACATCTCGCCGCTAATAGCCTTTTGTTTATTTGCTTGTGAGGACCCCAAGACTCGTTTTAGCGAGCAACTCGGTGCGCCCAAGACTGCCCCGCTGTTCCTCGAGAGATGCCGAGTGCAACTTGTAGCGCTGTGGGCTGCTCAAACAACCCGCTGCGCAACACGGAGGTGCTTTTTCACAAGTTCCCAATGGACCGAAAATTGGAGAAGGTGTGGGTGAACGCTGTTCGACGAGTGGACTTTGGACTTCGGCTTTTACGCGCGCGAGGAAAAAAGAACGAACAGACGTGTACAATCCAGCACACGTGTGTTCGGGCGCCACGGCCCGCGCCGGAGAGCCTCAAAGCTTCGTGCCTGGGACTGACCAGCAGCGCGAAAGTGAGAGGGCCCCCAGTACTGTACGTCACTGGCAGCGCGGCGTAGAGCAACGCCTCTCCATCCACGGAGCCCCGATGACAATTTAGGCCTAGCTACGAGTACGAAAGACCGCACACACGGCGATAGCCGCCGAGTACGACAGCGAACGAGTTCACTCGTTTTCCAGTCGCACGCACGGCGGCGGCCGCCGAGTATGGCACCGCACGAGTTTACGGGTTTTTCAGTCGCTAGCTTTTTGGGTATACGCACTAACTCTTGCTACATGGGCTGGGTAACTACCACGTATACAGAATTAAAACAAAATCAGCTTACCTCCTATCTTTAGACGGCTAGCGCAACAGAGGTAGGTGCCGCTCGGCCTGCGCACTCGTTGATCGAGAACGATCTTGACGTCACATTCACATAGCAGCCGATTCCCAGCGTTGCCGGGTCCTCAAGCGGCTAGTTTCGGTTTTGTTGGCCGCGCCCCAAGCAGAACTTTTAAACGTCGATAACTTTAAAGGGACACTGACACCCCCCAAAAATTTTTTTTTATTTTTTGCCAGGCGCTTAATTATGGTGTCGGAGGACTACCCAATTAATATTTTGCAACAGAGTAGCGTATTTCTTTAATAAAGCCAAAAGACGCAACTGCTCGAAACCGAAACCGAAACCCGACGGAGGTCGGAGAAGTGGAGAGAAGAGAGTGACTGGCGGAAGTCACGTGGCTACACCCGACCGTGCGTTTTTTTTGTTTTTTTTTGTTTTTTCCCCCTCTCCGGTAGCAGACGACACGACATGCGGCGTGCGATGCGGCGTGCGGGAACTGCTTGCCGTGCGATTGTTTTGCAGTCATGTTTGTTCCGCTCGTTGTTCTGTACTCCAAGATGAGTTGTTTTGTACATTGAGGAGTTGGAGATGAGTAGTGAGTGCCCGTGGTGAATTTCCATGATCGGCTCCGAAAAGAATACACCCAAGATGTTGCGTGAAGAGCTGGCTCACATGTCCTGCATCCGAAAAAAAGTGGCATTGTGCGACAGAGTTTCCGAAAGATCAACAGGATTGGGACCAATGGCTGGCTGCAATTCCTGTAACACATATACGGGCACCTCGGAAAGCGGACGCTACCTGATTTATATGCTCCTTGCATTTTGTGGAAAGTGATTATTACATTGAGTTCGCAGGTGTCAAAACGGAAATCCCATACCATTTAATTCAGCGAAGTATCGTCCACATTTGTGTTATGTTTTTGTTTGTTTCTTCAGTGATGATTGTAAAAAAAAAAGAAAAAAGAAAAAGATATGTAAACATCGAAAAATGTTTGAAAAAAAAAATTCACAGGGGATTGAACCCGGTCCTACCGCGTGTGAAACGGACGCCTTTCCCACTGAGCTACTGGGGCATCTCGTTTCTGGTGGATCTCTTTCCTTAGTAATAATTCAGCCGGTAAACTGCAAGTTGGAAAGTTTGCTGTCGATTTTTCTCTAGCAAAAGCACTCCCGGGTCAAAGTCGGGAAGCACCAGGCTTTGGGGACATTTGCAGCTAGTAAAGAAATCGTACGCGTGCACATTCAACTCAAAGTAGACACGTCGTGCTTGACGTTTGCGCGAGCGTTGTCTTCAGCCACGAGAAGGGAGCGACGGCTCGGCGACGTCTTCTTGCAAATCGGCTTGGTGGTCGGGCGTGTCGTACGGGATGAATACCAATTCTTTTGATCAGTCCCAAATTTCTCTTTTAACGGTAGACAGAATTCGCCGGTACCGCGAACGACAGTTCTGAAATAAAGGTCCCACGCCCGTCATCCGCTGCAAACGACGAACGCACAGAATGCTTCCGGTTGTCTGTGGAACTTTTTTCTTTTTTTAAATCAACGTATTTATAGCTTTTTAGAAGCCACAAAAAATGGGTTTCATATTTTTTTCTATTTTTAATATTGAGTGTGTGCCTTCAGTGACCCACGACTTTGATTAAATTTGGTGGTCGCATCGATACCTTAGAAAACGGCCCGTGACCGCGAAAAAGAGAGTGAGCGAGACTCGAACCGGCCAATACTGGATCGGCGGTTTTCGAGCGGAAAGAAACCGAATTTCGAGCCGCAAATTCTGTTCTGGGTAGTTGAGCTCTCACATGTCACGTACAACTAAAAACCTCGGCGAGCATAAATACCCTGTCAGTGTCCCTTTAAAACTACGCACAATAAGGAGAAAAAATTACATCTTGCAATTCAGAGATGCTGACTGCACTAAAAACAGTCATAATCCCAAAATCGAAAGTATGAACCGGAGTTGCACCTTGTCCTGTTTCCCTGTCTGTGTCCCTGTATTTTTCGGCAGTTTTTTCGTTTGCCGTTTATGAACGAGGCGATCAAAGATGCGCGGCAAGCAAAACATAGGTAACAAACTTTATTCACACAAATGGCGATACATTTTATCGAAAAGCTCGTTCTTTCGCGAGTGTGCACCGGTGTCGGACAATAAGACTACTGAACCGGCATCGGGAACTCGAGGTCATGCACATACACGCACCAGACAAACTGGGGCAAGGTGAGTTCCGAATTCGAACGGCGCAACTCAAAGGGGCTACGAAACAGAAGATAAACATACTTTTGCAGACACCGAAATTAATTTCTGGTCCACGCTTTTTGAGCACGAGGCGTCTACTCCGAGCACTGGTCAAAGTGTGAAAAAAACAAACAAACAAGAACATCACGATTTTGTGGTCCTTTTTCTTAAGGAAGATAAAAAAAAAAAGTGGAAGTTTGAAGCATAAATGGGACAAATCAGACCACCCCCGTCGAATCATTTAAAATTTCCTCCTCTAAGGATCCGAGGGCCTTTGGTAGAAATCTCCCTTGACCGCCTCAGCTCCCAAAGTAACAAAATGCAGACAACAATCAACGGTGACTTAGCAGCTATGACAATCAGCTCTCGCCTTACACAAGCGAAGGCACAACGCGTGTGCAACTGCAGCGACACAACAGAACCACTGAACCAATGACTGGTCAGTTTTCTCAATAAAGCCTCGTCATTGAAGCACCTTAAACTGGAACAAAGGAAACGCAAAAGACCTACCACATCTGGCAATGCCCTCGCACCAACCGGCTAAAGTGGCTGACAGGTTAAACTCACAACGGTGTCCTCGAGAAACGTGTTCGGCAGGTTGCGTGCCAACACAGTCAAAGCCGCTAAAAACCGTTAGCAAAAAGTGTTGCTGGTAGCGGTAGTCTGTCACAAGGGTGACAACAAACAGTGAGCCTCGCCCAAAATCTGGCGGTTTTTCCCCATCCTTTTTAAACGGACTAGAACCTGATACAGTGGAGAACACCATTAGTTCACCCATAACTTTCCGACAGTGGAGCGTTGTCGAACCTCTTAAATAACCCCCACACACGTCCAAGCAGGAGGATCCAAGAGACTCGCAAATGGGTTGGTGGGTTACTGAAAGTCGCGACAGGATATGATCCCTTTCGGCGGTCCATCACAAATGAGGTAATGCAACTTCCAAAGAGTTCCTTCAATTACATACTTGGTTATAGATGGAGCTTCGTTCAACGTGGTAGTTAAGGTTCTCGTGCAGAAAATGTGCTTACACGTAGAGACATTAGGGAATTTCAATACTCTACTAACAATGGTGCTGATCGGCTTCCTCTATAGCTAGATATACCACCCAATGTTTTCCACTGCTTCTAGACATAGTATTTCTTTGCAAGTGAAGCCAGCTAAACAACAAAAGCTGGATGATTCGTTAGGAATCATGTGTTGTTGGGGGTTGTGTGTCAAAAGCGTAACAATGAACTCTGGAAATCGCTCCAGAACCTCCTCCAAGACAAAGCAATACAAGAGAGTGAGCGCAAAAAGACATCAGTAAGCATACCTGAAGACAGTAAGGCATTCCAAAGCAAAATGAGCAGGCCTGCCTTTGTAACGTGAGCAATTACTGATGGCTCCAGTAGTGAAAAGACCCAATTTCTTTGGAGTAAAATTAGATACAGTAATCTCAGAACGAAAGCACTGCATGTCACTGTACTAGAGTGCATTCCCGGATAGTCTCCGTAAAAGCAGAAGTCGTCAACTTTCCAGAAGGGTGAGCCGGTAAACTATAAATTTCCCAGTAAACTAAGTAATGGAAGTGTGACTCGACAACACAATTTCGTGCTGCACTGTACGACACAAGGTACAAGGAGCCGGCCAGTAAAGGGCCAAAATGAAAGAATAATAACCATGAGTTTTTTCATTATCTTTTATATAAAAATCTTCATTATTGAGAAAATAATTCTCCAACGTGAGTACCTACCGCATAAAATTGCAAGACTTGCTCTGTCACACTTCGCTAACAAAAAAATTTTGAACAAGCATTTGGAGCGGGAACTGCTACTACTACATGGGGTTTTTGTTAAAAACGCTACATTTGGCTGAAAACCAGGTTAAATTGGACCCAAGTTTGATTCAAGCGTGCAAATCCTGGGTGAAATCAGTTTTACCTCAGCACACAATCATATAGGTCATTCAAAATATACCCTAACTGTGCAAGAGCAATTTCCCGCACAAAAAAGACCAGGACTGTTCTACGGCTCCTTTACAACAGAACAGAAAACAAAATACTCCAAAAATTGCTGGGTGAAACAAAACGAGAAAGCTGCAGTCTTATCTCCAGAACCGGCATTATGAGAAATTCAGGATGTCGAACCCACTTTTAAAGAAATAGTAAGGTTTTTGTAGCATAAAATGCAAACAGTACTTTTTTTTTTTTTTTTTGAAGTCACCATTTGTAAGTTTTTTACGGTCCAGAATACCTCCTCACAATATAGGAGGACTCAATTCAATCTAGACAGGGACAAAAAAAAAATGTCGAAGGAACGATTGAAGAAGGCATGGGACGAACATCAATGCAAACTTCTCAGCATTGCTTTTTTTTTTTTTTTTTGTCAACAGCCATTGTAGGTGGTTTTGAGAATGCTCTCACGAGAGGTTTTTGGTGAACACGGTATTGTTTGTGAAACTGTGACCTCGAACTTTCCAACTTGTTCTAAACTCAATACAGTCGACTTGTATTAATTTGGTTCCGCTCCCCGCTCCGAGCATCCTGGTGACAGCGACCACGACTGGCACCAAAAAATGCTAGCCTCTCGTACGGGCAAGGCAGAAAAGCCCAGGTGCATCGGAAGTGCCAAGACTGTTGCACTCATTGTTGGAAAACCATGCTGCCAATAAGGCTGGGATGACTTCTGCATTCCTTTGGGAGCAGTTACGCAAGCTCCAAGTGAAGCTTGCAGCAAAGGCATCCAATTTCCCTAACCCCCCCCATCTTTGCTTGCAGTTACATGATGAAATACAGCCTCTTTCCTCCTAGTATTAATGACTGAACTCCTTACTCTCAAACTTTTCACCCACACTAACTTCATTTCAGGACTTCAGTGTAGTGCTGCCTAGCGCTTACGAGATTTTTCGGGTTTTTGGCTGGTCCCTCGTTCAAGATTCTCTACTGCTGCATTCCCGACGTTTCCCGAAATTTCTTGTGGCTTTTCCTTCCCAACAGCCCCTTACTTGGGATTCCGCAACCATATGTCCAGCAGTGTCCTTTTTGTTGCTGTATGATGGCCAAAACTGTCAATGTCTTCCAATATGCACCCTTCTTGAAATCGTACCGATATGATAGACACAAGAATGTGCAACTTCTGAGTGGGAATATTCAAGCCGCCTGCACACTTCACAGCGAAAGTTCTCAACCGAAACTTCAGTGACGTACTCGCTGCCTAAAGCTTTGGGCGGCAGGATTCGGGAGGAGGGCAAATTTTAGAGAGGGGCTAGAGTGGTGCCGACATTTTGTGAACTAACGCCTTTACCCTGTCCATACCGTAGAAAGAAAGCAGGACTGTGCCAAAAAATAAAAATGAGCATGCACACGGTTACTACGAAGTCAACCGTGTGCTCCGCTGACCGGCAGCACGAACATGCATGCAACAAACAAAAGCAGCATATCGCACCCCCTGCCCTAAGCAGAAGAGAGGTGGTCCAGGTGGCCAGCTAGGGTTGCAAAACGAAGGCGGAACGGGTCGGTGTTTCTTTTGTAGCTGTGGAAGGTCAGAAAAAAAAGAAAAACAAAGGAAGAAAGGCACGTGCTCTGAACTTGAATGAACCACTGAGCTAACTCGTCGGAGGTGGCGCATAATAAAGAAAGAGAAAGAAGAAAGGAGCATGAGAGAAGAGCGTTTGCTTTCGGTAGGAACTTCATTTTGTGTCAATTGTATATTGCTGCATTTCTGCCTTCCTTCAAAATGGTGATAACCTTCCATTTTCTAACAATGAGCGACAGAAGGACGAGGCTCGGCGGTGATTAACATTCGAAACGTCCAAACAGAAAAACTGAGCGATGCTGGTTCTTTCATCATTCTTTTGTTTGGATGGATCCCAATCCTTCCCCTACCAGCCTGCAAATTTCGGGAATAGGCCGGTCCCCACCCCCATGTACGCCACCGATTGATTCACTTTGATCATGTTGCTTTTGACACTATGATAAAGACTCGTGCTGCTTGATGTTTTATTTCGTTTCCAGTATACTGCATCGTTTAGACCCTGTTTACTCGATTTGTGAATCCTTTATTTTCCCTCCCCCTTGAACTATTTTTTCTGCCATACTGGGTTTCATTCTTGCTCATTCTTTGGAGACTCTCCTAATCATGTCTTAGATGACCTGTAATATTCTATCAAATGAAATTACCACAAAGCCCTCTCGTTTTGCTGGTAACTGTAGTACTTGTGTCGGCACCCCGATGTCGAAGCTGCATTGCAGCTTTGATGAAAATTTTCTGAGCATTTTTCAATTTATATGTTGGATAATTTTAATCGATTAGGCACGCTACGTCCGCGTCCAAATAAAAAAAGTCAAATTTGGAGGTTTTATGTGCCAAACCAGTGGCGGGCATCTGGCACGCCCCAGCGGAGGACTGAGGATTAATTTCGACCACCTGGGGATCTTTTGACGTGCAACCGAAAGCTCGGTTACACGGCGCTTTCTCCGCAATAAGCCTCCATCAGATTGCGGGCACCTCGGCCGGGATTCGAACTTGCCACATGGGGACCCGTAGGCCGGCGCTCTCGCCTCGGAGCCACCGAGGCGGCCCACGTCAAAATAAAGGAAGTCGACTGTGGGCACAAAGGAACGTTAACCTACCAAAATAAAAGAAAAACAATATTGTTTTTTCGCAGATGCGTTTCCACGCATGATCCTCCAAATGCCGAGCTGAAATTTCGTACAACACCCTGAACGGGGAATCCCAACTTTGAATGGAACCAGAGGGGCTTAATTTGTTTGGGATAGTCCCCAAGGTGCACATAGACATGAAACTTTCTCAAACCGTCTTCTAATTTCAGAGGCGACCAAGACTGAATCCTGGTCCTGGAGCAGGATGGGAGCAGCCTCCGAGCTTTGAAGGTGTGCGAGTCCCAAATGTGCCCGCTGTCGTGTGGAGGAGGTGACTGCTTTCTTGCACACCAGCACCTTTTGGGTCGAGCACACCCCCAACTTGGAGAAACCTGGTGCAGATCCTGGCAACACAACGTCAAGGCGTACCAATATCTACCGATTATCGAGAAGATGCGCGTATCGGGAAAAAAAAAGTTAAATGAATCCCTCCTACTGCCATCGCCGCATCTCTCGCCCCCGAGTCGTCGCAACAGTGCAAACCATAGCAAATCGCAGCACAGTACCTTGTGCCAGAAGTATGGTGCCGGCAACCCCCATTCGAACTAAAGCGCCACATTTCCCGTTCCCGACTACGGCAATTGGAACGCGTCTCGGACTGGTGCGTTTGTCGTCCAACCTTGCCCAAGCTTCAAAAGTGGTCCAAAAGTGGTGACAAGCGATGTTGCGGATCCCAGTACGTCAGGCCCAACTCCTAGCTGCCCAAGGTTCCGTTCACATTCGAACTGGGGAGCGACCTGCGCCAGGCAACATGCCGGCGCTGCTACGACGTCCTTGGGAAGATGTTCAGAAACCACGCTTGAGGACACCCTTTAAGCACCAGTCGGAGACGCGTCCCTGAAACCGTAGCTTCGTCCTTACTTTCGACGGTGCTTAAAAAGACTGGAAAAAGAGCCCGGCACAAAGCCGACAACAGAGTCGCGGGAGGCTGTCCGTAAGGTGCGCGAATGCTCCCGCACGGGCAGGCAAGCAAAGCGGGGCCGAAGGCTGCCCGGTGAGGGATGAGTCCAAAGAAGCTCGTGGTCCGGAGTGGGGGGAGGTGTCCCATGGGGGGCCCTTCCGAGGGGGCTGCCCTCTTGTGGCCCTCTTGTCCGTGGAACTGCCTTCCCTGCAACCCAGAAACCGTCCCAACGCCTCGGTCACCTCCAGAGAGGAAACCCTATGCTCCGTTTCGCTCTAAAGGCTGGTTCACACAGTTGCAACCACTCATAACCATGTGTCTTAAAAGAAACAGAAACTAAAATGCAAAAAAACAAAACAAATTTTAAATATATATATATATTTTTTTTTTAAAAATTGCGCAACATTTACGATGTTGGGCTCAATTTAGGTGGAGCTCACTACCCGCTCTCGGCCCCGCCGACAAAATGGTGGCCCTGCCCATTACTTCTAGATAGGCTTGGCTGCTCGCAAGATTGATGTCTCCCCGTCGTGACATCCAGTGCGATTAGTCTGCCGTCCGACAGTTGTGCGAGCAGATGCGCAGGAGCGTACGCCGTCGTCTGGTATTCCAACACACTCTAATACCACCCATGGACCACCCGTAAAACGCGGCCATGAAAGCAGTGCGTCCACATCCACCATCGCTTGCATCTGTCTGCTATTCCACCCTAGTCTAGAACCGTCTGCGATGATCCCAAGACACGACCATGAAATGGCATTCTAGCATTCCATTATACACGAGCCACGGTCTAATACAATCGTCTGCCAGTTCAGTAGGCCTTGAGCCAAACGCATGGGGGCTCAGCATATTGCCTGGAAGAGAGAGAGTGCGAGAGACAGAAAGTAAGGGGAGGAGAGAGGAAAGGTGGGGGGCAAGGCGGACCTGTCAGGCCCCAGTAACCCCCCCCCCCCCCCCTTGGAACTTGAAAACTTCCGGCCTATGCTTACGCCAGTCCCGCCATAAAAACAAGCACCTGTACAGCGCTTCCAAAGGCGTGTACTTGCAACAGCTGTTTGCTGCAAACTACGTCAGTTGAGGACACCTTTCTCTCGGCGAGCGCAAAACGACTCATACTCATAAAAACGGGCGAGCTCAACAAGCTACGCGGTAAGAGAAACTGCTCACCGTGAATGCCGGCAGCCATGTTTGTTATTGTTTGAAACAAAAACGGAAAAGGATATTATTGAAAACAATATTGACTATTATCTATAGCAGGGGTCTCAAAACTCATTTTAGTGTGCGGTGTTTAACAATGACTCATGATTTTTTTATTGATGCTGGCTATCCCACAAAGCCTAAACTGCGTGCACCGAGTGAGCAGGGTCGACTATTCTCCATTTCAGAGTTTCAAAGTCAGTTCGCCCCTGTCTAGTTTCCTTCATTCAGACTTTTTTGTTGCAATCGCTCAATACCGCCCTCTGCACCCAGGCGAATGGGGTCCCCCAATCACCTCCGCCGATTAAGAAGGGATCCCTGAAACATCAGCAGTCGAGGACCACTGGAATAAGGAATGCCTCTGGCACTGTCTACAGGCTTCCTCTTGTACGATGTATCGGCAGTGTGAACGCGGCCTTAAAGGAGCGGGACGGTTGACGCGCTTCCTCAGCAAATAACTCCGCAGAGTCGACGCTGCTCAATGTACAGTGCCACTGTGCTCAACAACCTCGTAAGTGCCAACCGATGTGGACACATGGAGGGGAAATGTTGCCTTCTTCAAGTCCGTCTTCGTTGGCACTTCGACTTTCCAAGCACCATACACTAACTAGACCAACAACAAGTCTTGTTAAACTATCGTGCCATCGCGGTGGCATTCCGACTGCAGCGTACCCGTTGCAAGTCGAAGCTCGCCGTGTCAGCACTCAATAGTAGCCAACGTTCATCAGGCTCGATTCCCGAATCGGAACGGGTTAACAAAGCAACCCCGAAAACGTGCGCCGATGGAATGGGCCCACGTGGAGTACCTCGGGTGCAGTTAGCAGTCTTTGCGCGTGCTGTTTTCTGGGTACAGCTTCCTGAGGGGCACAAGGCTGAGTGAGCAGCAGCACCAACTAAACCAACAAGTCCCATTAAACAATCGTGCCACGGCGGTGGCATTCTGACCGTAGCATACCTGTTGCAAGTTCAAGCTCGTTGTATCGGCACTCAAGAGCAGCCAAAGTTCATCAGGACCGATATCGAAACGGGCCAGAAAAGAAACCCCGAAAACGTGCGCCGATGGAGTGGGCCCACGCAGAGTACCTCGGGTGCAGTTAGGAGTCCTTGCGCTTGCTGTTCTCCGGGTACAGCTCCCTGAGGGGCACGAGGCTGAGCAGCAGCAGGTGGCGCCGGTACGCCTTGGTCTGGCGGAACTGGTTGTCCGTGCCGTGCAGCCGGTCAAGGACCCCCAGCACCCCGTAGTTCTGCGTGAACCTGGTAGGGAGCAGGGCCCGGTTTGCACGATGCAGCTCAGGTACGCTGTTTGAAGTGTTTCTCCGGCTGGCATCCTATGCCACTCGTGCGTTAAAAGTGGTCCCAAAGTAACAACAAACGACATCACAAAAGCCAGAGCATCACTATTCATAGAGCAAGTCAGCTGCTTCCTGCGTTGGAGTTGCGGTGACGTCAGAATGACACCGAGCTCTGATTGGCTTTGATTGAAAGGATAGGGGGTAAACCACAATGCTAGATGCCTTGGGGTCTACTCACTATTCTTTGTAGCGTAAGCTACACTGGCCGAGGTTGAGCAGTCTCGCGTAGCCCTCATAATGAGCCGTGCTCATTATGTGGAGCGCGCGGCGGTGGAGCTCCGCATAATGAGCATGCCGCACGGCGCCGCGCGCTCCACATAATGGGCACAGATCGCATAATGAGCACGGCTCGTTATGAGAGCCACACGAAGCCACCGCCGTGCGCTCCGTCTCGCCGGTCTGCGCATTCCAGAGGAGTGACACCATAGCTGCGGCAGACGCACTGGCGCCGCCATGTGCCTAGCTGTGCGCCTCCGTTGCGCAGTAGCCAAGTCTGACGCTGCACCGGAGCCGCTTGATAGCGCCTCTGATTTTGTGCGCATAAGCTCACGCTATGTATATCCTAGCATAGCCAAGCCAAGCCACCGTTTTTAATCAGCCAATAAGAGCTCAGTGTTCTGACATCATCGTAACCCGTGTGCAAGAAGCAGACGAACTTGCGCTCCACACTGTCGCAGCGCCCCAACTACCGCCTGCCCAAGCTCCCGTGGGCCATCGAACTAAAGAGCGACTTGCAGCAGAAGAGGCGACTGCCACACCCGCTACCGCCGTTGTAGCGCCGCTAGGGCCGGCAACAGCGTGACACTTCTGCAGCGTCACGGGGCAGAAACAGGGGGACAAGTTTTTTGAACGCGATAAGCAGACCAGTCGGAGAAGTGTTCCAGGCACTATATTTGAAGGTGACCACGTTCCTAGTAATTAGGCAAAGTATAAACACAGGGAACCGTTTCCGTACGCCTGCCCCATCTGATGCGGGTCCCATTTGATGCGGGAAAGGTTATCTTAGCGGACGAGAGCATCGGCAGCTTCGCGGCGGGACAAACATTTACGGCGAACAAAGCTTGCATTTACGAATAAAGAAGACCAAAACAAGCCCCTTTCCGCACGCAGCGACGCAAGAAGCCATTTTCAAGGGCCGAAGAAAGTAAAGTTTTGCTGAGACCGATTCACGGAAAAACGTGCTTCACGCCTCGCCGTAAGCACCGAGCTGCTGCAGGTAAAGGCTATGAACCTACGTGCTCCTGGGTCTCATTATGTGCACATCTAACTTTCATTATTTCTTTCCTTGGGTCTCGGATTGCATTATGCATTACGTTATGTCTTATATGCACGTCCTTAGGGCACTCACTTGAGGTGGTGGTAGTCGTGTGCTTCCGGGGAGGGCAGGAGGGGGAAGTGGAAGCCTGAGTGGGCGTTGAGGGTCGACAGGATGGCCAGGGTGAACCAGAGCCAGGCCGTGGCTGTGTGCGAGCCCAGCAGCAGCACCCCGAGCAGGGGCGGCATCAGATTCGAGAACAGGTGCTCCAGTGGGTGGCAGTACACCGCCGTGATGGCGATGGGCGCTGTCCACTCGTGGTGTTGCTTGTGCACGTGCTTGTATAGCCGCGGGTGGTGAAGCAGCCTGCATCGCCCAAGCCATGCCCGGCGGCTCTCTGGGTGCTGCCAGACCTAATCTGGCCCTCGCCGAGTGAGCTACGACGTCCTCGGCGGACGGTTCGTTCGCCAGTGCGAACCAAGAATGGGTTCCATTTGATGCAAAGTGTCACTATCAGATGAAATTAGGAGAAAACACCTTCACGTCGTACGAAAATGCCGTAAAATGCCGGGCAAGCGCCCACTCAAACTTTGGAGATACCGTATTTGCACGAATATAATGCGACCACGAATATAACGCGAGGGCAGGTTTTGATGCCCTCAAAAAAAAAAATTGTTACTATTATAAGGCGAACCGAGGCCGCGTCAATTTCTCGCACTCGGGGGCATAGCAGATGTGAAAAGTCAATGGAAATAGAAGAATTATCAGTTTATGTTTTGACTGCACTCATCCTCACTGCTCAGGTCCTTCGGTTTACAATCCACTTGGCAACTACGCAGATAAACAGCACCTCGTTGAAGCAGCAGCATGGCACCTGCTTGTCTGGTAGTTCCTTTTTCTTCCTGCGAGCTCCTCGGCAGCCCACAATCCAAACGAGGCACGAAGCAGAAGCACCAACACACAAGCACCAGATCACTCTGGAGCAGAAACTAAACAATACGCAGGCAGAAAAAAAGACTGCTGAATCCGATACACCAGGGGTTCTCAAACTTTTTGGCCTCACGGAACCTCAGGAAGCCTCAAAAACTGCCGCGGAACCCTCCCTCCCCTCCATATTTGCCGACCGAGAAGCAACAGATGCACAATTGTAGGCAATTTTGCTTGTGTTCCTTCCCATATATCCCCACCATATCAATCGCGATGTCAGTATAAAGTGAGTTGAAGGCGCTTTGCATGGTCCTGCCGCGCAGCATGCGGCATAGGGGGGGGGGGGGGGGGGGGGGGGGGGGGGGGGAGGGGAGGGAGGGAGGGAGGGAGGGGGGATTGCAATTTGGGTTTTCGCGGAACCTATGAGACCAGCTCATGAAACACCCGTGTTCCCCGGAACCCAGTTTGAGAACCCCTGTGATACACGATCACACTTCTTGTTCTGGTCCCTCTGCATAAACAAATGCCTCGTGTTGCACGATTGCCTAAACGCGGCTGGTGGTCTTGGCTTAGCTTGTGTTAACTTGACTTGCCCGGCTTGACTTGGCTTGGCTCGAATTGGCCAGTGCCGGCATTCCCGCATGGCGCGCAGGCACGCAATTTCTGCGGCGTGCGCGCGTTGTACAAACACAAAAGCGATAAAAATGCTTTTTTATGTTTTCTATTCACCCCTTCACGTGACCCCATGGCTAGAAAATGCCCCTCCACACCCCCACTTCTTTTCCCACCGGATATTTTGCATTGAGCCGGAGGGATGGCTTTCACCTGACTCGCACGCCTCGTGGCTGAACTCGATTCCGAATATAACGCGAGGTGCGTTTTGGAACACGTAATTTCGAAAAAAACTCGCGTTATATTCGTGCAAATACGGTAATCGCAAAAAAATAGGGGATGGACGCTTTTCCAATCATCAATTTTACATATAAATGTACAGTGCATATTTTCTCAGACCTTACAGATTTGGAAATGGGCGCTTAATGTGGAAAGGGCGGATGCGTGGTATTCTACGGTAGTTGTATCATGCGATTGAGCTGTGCGCTGCAGCTAAGCGAGATCGGACGCAAATTGAAACATCTCTTATTTCCCAATTGAAGCGATCAACAACCAGCATTCCAAGATTGGAAAAGGGTTCTGGTACCAGACTCTCCTCGAAATTTCATCACATTTCAGAAGACACTTAAATTAGCAAAAAAACATTTAAGCTTGACTTGGTTATTCTGATAGACCCGAGAAACACGGGATGTGTCATGCATGTATCATGCATTCATTTTGATTAAAATTCTGTTTTCTCAATGTTTTCTTTCTTTCTCTTTCGAAATGGGAAGGGGGTGGGTTTTTTTTTTCCCCACAGATTTTGTGTTCCTTCGAGTAAATTGGTTAAGGGGAGACGCGGGTCTTAAAATGGTAAAAAAACGCGAAATTTTACGTTTTTCAAAATTCACATATTTGGATTAATTGTAGTCTGAGGTACCTGCCTGCAAAGTTTCAATGTCGAATTCAATGTCTAAGCATGAAAAAAAATGATATTTACGATGTCCCCGCAGAGCCCTAACACAGCGAGTTCAATGAAAACAAGTGGAACTTCGCGCCCCGCGCGTTTCGCGATCGCTCGTCGGATCGCGGCCATCTTGGTCTTGTTGGAAAGCCGCTTATTTTCCCCACGTCCCCATGCCATTCATTATCGCGACAACATCGGGAAACGTCCGCATTCCGCGGGTTTCGAAGGCCCCAATTGCGATCGCTCATTGGCCGGCTAGCAAGGTGCCCGTACGTCAGAGCACGCGCGGCGCTTAGCGCCCCTGCTATTGGCCTAAACGCGCCCCTCCGCTCTTTTTGTCCTTTCCTCCTTTCCGTTCCCGCGCTGGCGAGAGGTGCGTCGTCTGCTCCTGGGCCCGTCTCCGCCCGTCTAGGCCTGTCTGCTTTGTTTCTTCCGTTACCGAGCGCACGTTTTAGTTCCCGTTTGCGCGCTTGCGTTGAACATTGTTGGTTCGCTTTCCTAAGAAGTCGCGCGTGTTTTGTTTTGTTTCGCTTCGAGTTCTCGAGATGCCGGACGACGCTCGGTTGAAATCGAACACGCGGCAAGCGTTCGGAAGGAAGAGGAAGCGACCGTGGAACAAGAAGCCGAAGCTGTCTGCTGCAAGTGCGCCACCGCGATCGGCACCGCCGGATGCCTTGGATCCTCCGGAAACATCAGCCGGAGACATCGCGACTCCATGCAGCAGCGGCAGTTTGTCGAGCTTTGCGAGCGCGGTTCGTGTCGACACCGCATACTACTCCACGGCCGAGCAGGCGCAACAAGTCGCACGATCGGACGAATGCAAGCGTGCGCTATCGGAAAAGTCGGCGACCCAGCGCAAATTCGACCTTCTCGGCGTCACCACAGGAGGCCAGACGCGCGACGCTGGGACACAGTTCATTCTAGTGGACATGAAAGCTCTCAACGACCTCTTCGCGCAGGCGAAGTGCGGAAGCTGCGGTGCGGGAACCCTGACACTTAGCAAGGCCACGGACAAAGAGTATGGCTTGGCAGTCAAGCTTCTGCTCGTCTGTGCCACATGCGAGTTCGAGAAGAAGCAGTTTTCTTTACCAAGAGTTGCCGGAACGGCGAAGATCACTCCTTTCGAAGTGAACATGAGGGCAATGAAGGGAATTCAGTCAATTGGGAAAGGAGTCACTGCCCTCGCAGACTTCTGTGCGTCCATGAACTTGTCACACCGCGGCCTGCATCACAAGACCTTCCAGGGACACCTGAAGACCTATGTGCAAGCCTGCGAAAAGTCAGCAAGCGCAAGTGAAGCTGCCAGCTCAGAAGTTGTCAAGAGACTGTATGCAGACTTCTTGAACCCTGTCGGCAACATCGACGTGATCTTTGACCGATCTTGGATGACGAGAGGACGCAGCTCCCACATTGGTGTGGGCTGCATTGTCGAGCTGTATTCCGGCCTAGTTCTTGACCATGTCGTGTACTCCAACTTTTGCCTTGGGTGTGCCCTGGGACCGGAGCCGGAGGAAGAGGGGTACGGCGACTGGTATGCAGCCCACGAGTGCCAGAGGAACATAGATTGCAATTCAGGTCGGATGGAAGTGGAGGCTGCATTGACCATGTTTCAAAGATCCCTGGCCAAGCACGGACTGAGGTACACCACAATTCTCTCGGATGGAGATAGCCGAACCTTTCATGCGTTGACCGAGGCAAAAGTCTACGGCTTCGTCAAGGTCGAGAAAAAGGACTGCATCAATCATGTGCACAAGCGGATGGGGGCTGCGTTGCGTAACCTCCTTGAGAAAAAGAAGGCCCAGGGTGAAGCACTCGGCGGAAAGGGCAGACTGACGCAGGACCGAATCAAGAAGATTCAAAACTACTACAGCTATGCCCTTAGGAGCAACAGTAACGATGTGCAGGGATGAAGAGGGCAGTGGAAGCCACCCTCTTGCACATGACGTCTACGGACAGTGCCCCAGACCACAGCAAGTGCCCCAACGGAGCTGAGTCGTGGTGCAAATTCAACAGAGCCCTGGCAAATGGCGAGTGTCCACCTGCGCACAAGAACCCTCTTCCAGATTGTGTGCGGTCCGCCCTCGAGCCAGTGTTTGCAAGGCTCAGTGATGAAAACCTGCTGGCACGGTGCAGCGAAGGCAAGACGCAAAATGCCAGCGAGAGCCTGCATTCGGTCATCTGGACGCAAACCTCGAAGAACGCCAATGCCTCCCTGGACAGCGTCAAGAGGGCTGCCGCCGAAGCTGTTGCCGTCCACAATCAGGGCAGGCGGGCAATGAGCGAGTCCGTTGCTGCGAGCCTGGGCTATGCTGCCGGTGACTGCCTCGTACGCCGCAGCATGGAGAAGGACAATCTGCGTTTGCGTAAGGCCAACGCTGCCCACCAGAGCAGCAGCAATGCAAAACAGAGGTTCTCCAGGCAACACCGGACTGGAACAGCTGGGGACTACAGTCCTGGACAGCTGTGAAGGGGCTCCCCTTTCGAGTGCTACATGAACAAAGGCCCTTTTCAGGGCCAAACAAAATCTGCTTTTGGAACGTGCAACCCTTAGTGCCTCCTCCCGTTGTCCCTTATAGAGTCTACTCATTCTTTTATAACTTTATTTTACATTGCAGACATTATTTCTCAGTCTTATATTATTTTTTAAAGGTTCTTGTGAACGGATCGCAGAATTTTTTATCTCAATTTGTTCAGATAGAACTATGCTTCATATTGCTGAACATTATTGCATGAGATCCCTTACTCAATTTTATGCAATGAGTGTCAAAACTTCAACTGCAATTTTCTCAGCTTCGCATTTTTCGTCTACATGCCTAGCCTTACGGTTGTTTTCATGAGATTATTCTTCAAGGATTTCTATGAACTTTATACCGTTGGATTCAGAAAGAAGTGAACTGCAGGGTGATGCTATTTTTGTATGACAGTATGGGCCCGAAATTTTATTATTAGTGATAATGTGACCTCGTTAGGCTTTGTAAATAGTGTACTTGACCTAATTAGACTAGTTTTATACAATGATCTATCTTTACAAAAATATAAATAGCATCATCTTGCATGGCAGGTCTTTAGCTACAAATCCATATCACTTATGCAAAAAAATTTGTATTAGAAAGTTCCTTAATGAGTCGTAAGAAATGACCTAATTAGGCTTCATTAGTTTCTTCGTCACTCAAAAAGAAAGGAATTGAGATATTGCAGAACTAATTGAGTATTTGAAAAGAGGAAGCCAAAACACATATACACACTGATTTTCATTATAATCCATTAATAAACAAAAAAGTCGATTTTAGAACCAGTGTCTTGCCTTAAGTTATAACCAATTTACACAAAAAAAAAATGCAGAATCTGTAAGGAAAAAATAACCCCCCACCAAAATAAATACATTAAGAGTAAGAAAAAAAAAATAGACCCTCCCTTTTTAATATGAAATTTTAGTTATGATTTGCAATGCTTGGTTGCGGAGAGCTTTGGGTGGTTTCAGATGCGCCACACACACAACAGATTCCTGTGATCTCCAGTTACATTGCAACGATCGAGACAAGCTCCTTGGCTTCCGTAATCTTTCAACGCACAGCCAAAGCTGAAAAAGATGCCCCGTCGTCACGCTGCCGCAGTGCCGCCACTGTCTGCGTGGTGCGTGCAGAGACGCATCACGTCGTGCGAACCAGGCTTCCGTGCACACGCGATGCCCACACTTGGTACGGGCAAACGCAGACTCGTTTGTAAACAGTGCGGCGGTCTATAACAGGGGTGACCTAACTGCAACTTAACCCTTTAGCATGCACATTTGCTTTGCAACACAGAAGGTGGCACTCCCGTCCTTAGCCGTGGCTGTTCGGGACCGTCACGGCCGAGTTACTCGCAACCGCACTGACATCGTTTGAGCCGAACTTCGAGGTGCTCGCATACTGTTGTTTTTGAAGAGTACCTTTCCTCTTAGGTGTTGGCGGTGTTGCAGAAACGGCGTCGTTGCTGCCTCTCGGTTTTACGTTGTCCCTTATGTTGTGCTCACTTGGGAAATGAAACCACCTGCCTACGCCCTAGTGGCGTTGTAAGAGGGGTGGGCATTAACGGCGGCGCGTCGTTGGAAGCGCGCAAGAAGGCTCTTTTTCTTGTACGTAAGACAAAAAGTGGACGTAATGAGCTAACGCTCATTACGTGAGGGTGTGCGGCGCGGAAACCGCGCCGCACACCCTCACAAAATTAGTCCCAGTCCAAACCGATACCGTGAAAACCAAAAGACGGCAGCATGCACCGAGGCAATAAATGCCGGTGCGTTTAAAAAACTGCCATGCTCCCTTTTAACTGCGAGTCACACTTAAACCGGTTCCTCTTTTGTGGCTCTCTGCCCACGTTCGTACGGCCAACCCCGATCTATGGCGACATCTGCGCGAGGGTGGGAGCCCCCTTGCCTGTGGGAGTAGTAGAAGCCGGCCTCCTCGACCAGGATGCAGACGGTGAGCTCGAAGACCACCCAGTGGAAGGTGGGCAGCTCCCCCGACCGGTTGTAGCCCCTGAGGAGGAGCAGGTGGTGGGCCAACAACCCAAAGGGTAGGCCCACAACCACCTGGTTGAACAGCACCTGCAGCACCACCTGCCCCACACGCCGGCCGGCCACCTGCAAAAGGGGGGGTGCTCGTTTGTTTACTTCTAGACTTTTACAGGTTCCTCTTTTTAGAAGAAAATTTTTATGAACGAGCATCATACACGAGAGTCACGTGACGTCAGTTTCCCTGCTGCATTTAGCGCGGAAATTGACGTCAACGCATCGTGCGGCGTCAATTTCTTCGAGGGGGTTCTGCGGGAGGTAGCTTGAGCTCGACACCTTTTGGGCTCCCTGGTCTCTATCAACGTAAATGAGCTGTCTTTTTCTTTTTTTTCTTATGTTAGAGGTTGATTTACAGTCAAGACCGAAGAAGGTCGAATTGTAATAGTACTCGGCATAATTTCCGACCCAACCGCGCTGACCCAGGCGCCCCTCGTGTCAGCCGCTACTCCCAACCCTCCGGTGCAAAGCGGCAAAGCTCGACGAGCACGCGCTGGAGTGAGGCGGTGAGAAATGAAGTGAACAGAGCGAGTGCAGCTCTGAACTGTGACCGTAGCCACGGCACGGAGGCATGTGGCAGGCACGATAATGGAGCAATCTTATCGGGAGTAAAATACCTTGGTTCTCGTTTATAGCAGTAGCCTCGCAACTTTTAGCTCCAGACATCACGAGGAAATTCGGGTGATGACGGGGTTGGCGCGGTCGACGAGCAATCTTTCTACTTCGTTTCATTTTAATTCAAAGAACAGCCTATGCTACGAGCCAATGGGGCCAATCGAGCTGAGTCAAAAGCGCTACATTGGGGCATTTGTGATCCTTCTTGATACGTGTTCATCCATCCGCCAAATCAATTAAGCACAGCGACTGACCCGCGACTTGCACTTTCAGCAAACACATATTCGTGCTTGGATGCGCCTAAGCCTTTGACGTTGCTCTAACCCAAGATGAAACAAGGTGAGAAGAGACGCCGTGAAATACATATGCACAGTTTTTCTTCTCTTCTACTGGTCTATATATAAGAATCAACCAACATTAAAATATTTGTATTGTTTGCTTCGTGTTAAGGTTGTTTTGGTGCAGGAGTGGTGCAATTCTTAGCAAAAACAGCATTTTGGCTCTAGAGGTAGCAGAAATTTGTTCATGGTGCAATTTGGCGCAAATGTCGCAGCACTTCAATAACTTCAGCTGTCGCCAAGGTGGTAGACTTGAGCTCGGGTTTATCTTCTTTTCTTTAGTTAAATTTTACTAAGAAAAAAAAAAAGTTCCTGAATGTGGGAACGTGACACTACCGCTGGACACGGTGTCTCTCTCCAGATCCTACCAAGATTGTCTCCAAACCTTTTCAAATAAAAAAAAAAAAAAAATTGAAACATTTGGTTGTCAATTGTCACAACTGAATTAACGTTTTACATTTTTACTTCGAACATCCTTTCAGCAGTGTGCAAAAACGAATTTAAAAAAATTGCAGTGGCTTAGCTCGGCTATGCTATGACATACGTAATGTGAGCTTATGCGCACAAAATGAGAGGCGCTATCAAGCGGCTTCCGTGCAGCGTCAGACTTCACTACTTCGCAACGGAGGCGCACAGCTGGGCACGCGGCTATGGCGTCACTCCTCTGGAATGCGCAGACCGGCGAGGCGCGCTTTGCAGCGGCGGCGGCTCCGGCGCGCCAGCTGTGCGTCGTGCGACGTCGCTGCTCCTCGCGCATGCGAAGCACAGCTCTTTGGGAACTATGCGAAACTGCTCAACCTCGGCCAGTATAGCTCACGCTACAAAAACTTCTCATGTTCTCCGACTCACGGGGTAAGGTGCACTGTCCTGTATCTTGTAGCGCAGCAGGAAGGAAGGCTTTCCCGTCAGGTCCATTATGGTGTACAGACCACCTACCACCCAGTACACCATGAAGGTCACAGCAAAGGTGCCTGCAAAAGGAGAACATGAACTGCTAAGAAAAATAGTTACAGACTTAGAAAATAAAAAACAAAAATGGAGCAGTCGTGTGTTATTTTCCACTATATAGTCACAGCGATGGCTGCGACACGTCATGACGAAGTCGTTGAGCATTAACGTTGCACTCACGCACTGTGGGGTGCGTTAAACAAACGCATGCGGAAGAAAACAGACGTCCAACTATTTTGTACCCAACGCTTTTTTTTTTTTTTTTTTTTTGTTCCAAGGCATGTGAAAGCACGTCTCCCGGCACGAGCTTTCGGCAGTGATGCGCGCTACAACAATATTTTGTTATCAACTATTCTTTTTTTTTTTTTTTTTCAGAGTTTGTGCAGTGGGCTTTGGGTACTAAAAGAACACAAAGTACAGTGAGAGTTACTAACACTGTAGCGTAACTCTGTGGTAACGTCCTTGCTTCGAAAGCAGCAAACCCAGGTTTGAGTCCCGCGGGCGGCAGACAATGTTGTTCGAGGATTTGGCAACATCGACGACGGACGCCCTACAATGCCAAGTACTACAAAAAGAAAGAAATTACACCATCTTCTCGAGGGGAACCATGGGGTGATGCGGAGCATCGCGGATCGTTATTAACGGTGTTAGTAACGTTTTTAGTATCGTTGTTAACTTGAGTGTTATTATGTTAGTTTGTGGGGTGGTGGCTGACGCTTGCTTGCGCCAACCCACTAACTGACGGAACTGTTGCTTCCATCACACCTCACCGGAAGAACGGACTGAAGTAGAGTCAACAGCGGTGAACTGAACGCGCGCAGCGCGCTACCGCTGCTTATATTCACACTTGAAGGAGAGGAGACTAGAGGAGGAGAGTTGCGCATGCGCGCGCGGTGTGAGTAGAAGCGAACGCACGCGAAGGGCACGCAGCTGGTAGAGAGAGAGAGCGGAGAGAGTAACGCGCAGCTGTTGAGAAAGGGAAGGAGGAGAGTTACGCATGCGTAGTGTGAGTGCGGACTACGATGCCGCGGGACATAGACCCAAGCAAGAGATGCTCCGCATCTAAAAAAAATACTATAACATCAACAACAGACATCATTTCCAGTGGTAAGAACCCAAAACAGCTCTCGTTGTAAAACGATTGACTGATGCGTAACAAACGACTGGCATCGTCGTCAGGGATGTGGTTTCAGCAGGACTCGTGACTCATCAGCTAGTTGCTTTTCATACCGATAATTATTAAAAAGTGTGAACGAAACAAGGACAAAAACAAAGGGGGCAGGCTTTTAAAAAAAAAACAGTTGAAAGTTCTTGTCGTATGTGTGTCTCTTTTTCTGTCCTCGTCTCGTTCGCGTTTCCAATATTTATCGGACCAGTCATATGCCGCTCTCGTGATAAACACCCGAGCCTTGTGACGAGGTTACAAGGGACCGCAAGATAACGAGAACTATAGACCTTTGTTCAAGTGCGTGAACGTCACTTTATTTATATTGGTACAACTGTGGACTTTCTCGGCATAGGCCACTGGCCTTTCAGCCGCGGTCCCAAGCCTACTAAATGCTAGTTCTTACCACTTAAATAGTATAGTTGAAGCAGCGTGGTGGCTGCTTCACTAGGTTGTAGTGAGTAGATTGTAGAATTACACACCCAAATTAGAAGTATGTTTCTCAAGTTTCACTGTCTGAAGACAAGAACAAGTGCAACAAAAATCACATCACCGAGAATCTTTTATTCAATACAAGCCCGGTGTTACCAAAGGTGGCACCACCCTATCAACTCAGAGGGGGCAGGGCAGGGCTAGAGAGAAGCCGAACCTAACATGGCAGCGCTCAAAAAGCTCACATCGAGATGGCCAATTGACTTCACTTTCACACAGAATGTACACTGCATGACACTGTTAGCACCAACAGGCAATTGCTGGTTTCTCCAGTTTTCCCCTTACAATCAAAAGGCTGTCAACAAAATTACTAACGTGGTGCAAACTGCTCGTTTAGGGCTCTAACCTAACCGACAAAATTTAATGCTCGCCAATTCTAAGTAAAATGCAAAAATGACCAGATGTGTTTGCACTGACTGCGTCATGCAGTATACTTCAGAGATGATTGCCAAGTCTAAACCACCATGAAAAATTGTTGCAAAACCATAAAAAGATGGCCAGGAACCCTTACGACAAAAAATTATGCTTACCTCGATACTTTGCCTGATGGTCTATTCACGCTATGCATCTTGTTGGCGAATCATGTGTCGCGAAACTAGGTTTCGGGAAACAGATTCCCCGTCTGAATGCGACCGAAAATGTGGTGCACCTCCGGAAAAAGTGGTGTGTGTTCTTCGCTTCTGGAGCAATGTTTCACTGAAACCTCACCGAGACCTGTCAATCACCCGAAGGAGAAACGCAGACACTGCCAATGGCTGCTCAACTCACGTCTGACCTTCGAGGAGGAGCGAGCTTTTGAAGGAGTCTGATTTTTGGCCGATTCCGTATCCAAGCCAAAGCCGAAAGAAAAAAAAAGAAAACATGGCGAGCGAGAAGGGGTGCGTACGGGCAATGAGTCTTGGTCTTACTCGGTTGCAGGTGTGTGAATGGCGCTTTAGCAGTACGGGTTGGTGGCGCGGTGCAGATTCATCAACAGTCGCGGTGAGTGCAAGCAACACATATAAACATGATGACTGGGGTAACTTTCTTTATTAGCGGTGCAAAAATGTCCGAAATGCTTTGAGATCATCCGCCTGTTCTTTGACGTTCACGGTCTTTACTGGGTTTGGCAGAACTAGTAAACCCAGAGAGCCGAATTTGACAAAGTTCATTGAGTGGTATTAATAAAAGACTGTCTCTTCACACTGTGCATACTTCATTTCACTTCGATGCGAAGTGCTTGGTATTCCCGGTGCAGATGACAAGGTTTGGCGAAATTCTCGTGAATCAATATGTCACAGGTTTCGCGCGTCGAACTCCACGTGTGAATAGGCCGATTTCGCAATATCTTGGTTTCTCTAAACCGTGGCGCGTTGAAAAGATGCATTGTGTGAATAAGCCTTAAGCGGACTGACACAGAATGCGCCACGTGTTTGTGTCAACCTGTTTCGCCCCATTTCGTCTGTTTTGCCAGTCAGGCTCGGGAGTCTTAGAACAGGGGTCAACAAAACTCGCAGCCCGCAAGGTGGTTGCAAGACATCTATCGCTAGTTATTATTTTGCTTACATCTATATATATATCACAGGGGTGGAAGCGGGCTAGAGCCTTTTGTATCAGGGCTGGAAGCAGCAAAAGTCCCACTTTGGAGCAGTTTTGGAGCAGTAAAACGCTCGCTTTAGAGCAGCTCGGGAGCAGCAAAAATAAGTTTTGTAGCCGTCGAAGTAGGTTTTGCAGCAGGTCACGGAGGTCAAACAAATGTCTAAAAGTGACTTGTTGTTTCTAAATGTGAAAATGTAGCAAAAATATATGCATGCACATCTCAGAATAATTTTCAAGCAACATACATACACATTTTTCTATTTCTATTGCATTGAAATATGGAATATTGGCAATTTATGCAAAAAAAAGGCTTTGAGAACCATTCCGGCAGCAGGCAGAGTCATGATAGACTTTATATGGGAGGCCCCGACAATAAAAGCCTAGCTTGAGCCACGCCAGTACAAAACAGTCTACTTAATGAACCAATTGTAAACATGTATCCAGAAAACTAAACCACTGCAAGGTGTCAGATAAACTACCTTTGCTGACTAGTTTTTGTTTAATAAAGAATACACATGTTCAATCACTACTTAAAAAGCCCTATATCAAGTTTAGTAACAAAATACAAGGCTATTGACATTTGACAAAAATTCAGATGCAAAATAAAATGTGTATTTTATATCTTCAGACTACCACAGTCACTCGTACATATGCAGCTTTAAGCATTGACTAGAAGAGCAACGCAACCTTATGTACTCCATAAAATGCTGTGCATTGCATGTCTCCATAAAAAAATTAAGGTACCACAACATGTCTCAGAATAAAGCAGTCCTTGCTGACCTGTCTTCATTAAATACAAATGTTCTTAATCCCTCTTCATAAAGTACAGTAATCCCTATACCCAAGTTAACATACAAAGCTATATCTATATTACTTTGGATGGAAAAATAGATTGTCTTAAAGATATCACAGCCACTAATACATATGCAGCATAAACACTGACTAGAAGAGCCCACAGGCTCCATGTTAAAAAAAAAGGGGTTGTGACTAAGCTGAATCTGTGTAATTTAGAAACAACTGAAGTTCACCTTTTTTTTCACAGTTTGAAGAGCAGAGTCAATTTCTTTTATGCGCTCGAGTACTTTGGGCAGTTTAGAGTTCACATCTCTTAGCAGGAGGTGTCCACTACCCACCTTGTCCATGTCCTTAACTCAGTCTTGGGTAGTAACGCGTTACTATTAACGCGTTACTGTAACTTCGTTACATTTTTTGGTAACTTGTAACTGTAACGAGTTACTTTTTAAAAATGTAACTTGTAACTGTAGTTCTATTACTTTTTTCTGAGGTAACGATGAAAGTAACGACGTTACTTTGGTCGTTACTTTCCAGTTTTTTTTATGAATAACATAGGATTGAACGAGTACAATCTAGCTATTCTTGCGCTTTCCAAATTGTCTGTTCCGACTTTCGAGTGTCAAGTTGGCCATGCACAAACTTGTGAATACGTTCTTTCTCGCAAGTCACGACCCGAATATAGCCACGTGTTGATGGGATTATAAAAATATCCAGTTATCTTTACGCACGACCGTGTACTTTATGACCGAACACTTACATCTTAGTTTCTTGAAGCACCATCTATACTGCGGTTGTTCTTTTTTCTGCGCAAACACTTTTTAATCGGGTGAATCAACCGTGAAACAACAATACACACGAAGGGCACTGCGAATGTTTTGTATTTTGATTAGCGTCACTGCTCCGCACTGCGCATGTTTCGTATTTTGATTTGCGCCACTCCGACAGGGTGTCAACAGTCGAGGCAAAATTTACTGCTGTTTGCCCGAGGTTTGCTCGTTGCTCTGGTTGCGCGAGTTCCGTTCAGCAAGGGCAGGGACGTGTTCACCATCAAACGAGGAAAACTTTTGGTCACTAATTTCGAGAAGCAACTGCTGCTATGATACAATATAAAGTAAAAAGCATACTTTTTTACTTTTAGTCAATAAAACTTGGTGAGGGGCGTTTTCGAGTATTTCCTAAATTTTTTGTGTTATAGAAAAGTAACTGAAAAGTAACGTCGTTACTTTTTAAAAGTAACTGTAACTGTAACGAGTTACTCTTTTGATGCGGTAACTGTAACGGTAACTTCGCTACATTTTTCTGAAAGTAACTGTAACTGTAACGAATTACTTTTTAAAAGTAACTTACCCAAGACTGCCTTAACTGCCTCACCCTTGCTTATGAGTTCTTGTGCACTCAGTAGAAGTGCTTTAAGAGAAGACAGTTTGAACGAGACTGAAAATAAGATGTAGCTGATCAGGCGCTGATCCCTGCGGGGCAGGCTGCCTTCTTACGTGACAAAAAGCCCATCAACTTCTCACTACCCTACCCAACCCCCAACCCCCCCCCCCCCAACCAGATACACCTATACCCGAAACTTATACGAGTAGGGTGGCTATAGCAAGTTAAGGTACGTTCTTGACAGGAATCGGCAGCGCAGGTGTTGTACGGCATTTCTGATGTCACCCCCACTCCTCCACGCTAAAGGAAAGAAACAAAAAAGTGTGTAGCACTGCCAATTAACCAACTCGCTTAAGATCGCGGGTATTGTTTTCGCTAGTGGTCTGACGGCGGGAGACAACACACGACAGCGTGCACATTCGCACACACAATGATGGTTTTGGTTTCGTTTTGATAAGACAAATTGAGCTCGAGAACGGATGTGCCTGTGCTCGCGATTCTTCACGGCTAAGCGTCCAAATATGGTAGGCTACCAAATAACAGGTAAAGCTAGTAAAGACCACTTACTTCTGCTCATGTTAATGGCCAAGGTAGCCCACCGGTGCCGAGGCACCAACTCCCACGATCACGGCAAATCGGGACCACGGGCAACTGCATGCGCGCTCCAACCGCGCCAACCAACTATGCCCGAAACCAAACCGATGTGTTCGTATATCAAGCTCTTTGTAGTAAAAAACGACATCGCACTCTCGATGAACTAAAATCGGCGCCTCGCCCTGAGGTTAGACATGGTTCAGAGCCCCAGTCGAGTTGGTACGAGTCACCCGCAGTGACACCTAAGCAAAAGTACACACCACATGGTGGCCCGTGGCCAACCGTTTTCCGCTAAATTTAGAGAAAACACTAAAAAAAAAAAAAAAAAAAGTTGAAATTGGCGTTTTGGAGCAGGCTGGCGCAGGGAAGTGAATTGGCGCAGGGTGGCGCAATTGGCGCAGCGCTTCCACCCCTGATATCACTACTCCTCCAACTTACTTGCATCCACCTTTATGTAATGTACTGCTAGATGCCTTCAAGGTAAAATAAATTAAATGAAACAAAAGAGTGTGGCAGGGAAGCACTCACCCCAGACCCCCATGGCGAACTCGTCTCCGGCAAAAAAGGCCTCCACCTTGTCCCACTGGCCCTGCCAGAAGTTCCCAGAGGCTCCCCAGAATCTCTGCAGATGCCTGGGCAGAACAACAAAGGACTCGGCCATTACCCCCAGCTGCATCTTCCGTTGCACACGCCAGTCAAGACACGCTGGCCACAGGCACAGAACAAAGTAGCATCCTTCCCCGGCCCAACAGGTGGGCACACAATGGGACACAATCAGTCTTTTCTTGAAGAGGAGAGCAGCTAGCCTTTCTGAGACTGACACACAATCTCGCAGGCAAGACACCCAATCCTACACAATATCTCCTTCTCTCTTCAGGGAGGAGGGCTTCCTGAAACTGAGAGCATACAGCTCACCCAGAAGCATTCCTCGCTATGTCTCGTCCCGCGCTAGGGGACAAAGTCCACGGTGGAATCCTCACCGGGAAATCTTTTCTTCATTCTCAGGTCTGTTGCTCACTTTTTTGGGGGTAAATAATTAGGTTGGACACTGGAGAAACTCTCCTAATTGGTTTGTCGGCCTTTTAAGAGAGCCACTGTCATAATGTAAATGGGGTTATTTTAGATCCTATAAAACACCACGGACCATGCTGCTCTGTATTATTACCGATGCGGCCCTTTTATTGGGTCTGAACGATTATACCTTTTTCATTCTGGCAAATTTGGGAACCTTACATACCTTGTAAACAAAAGTGCACAAACTAGGAAGTGTTTGGCTCACAGTTAAGCATCAATGGCAAGCTCAGATCTGCTAAATAGTGTTTAAATGGAGAAAAATGCTTTACTTAGGGGTAGAGGATGGTTGAGAAAATGTGGGAGCTCAGGACGACCATTTGGGAGCCCTGTTTGAAAACTGACATAATAAGAGATCATGGAAAAGCAGACCTTTAAAATATTATTTGTGAACTGCTCCCAATTAGCTACAAAAACTAGTTGAATGTACCTTGACACCAGATGGAACTGATATGAAACCAGGGCATGGTCACACATCGAAACCTAACTCCTCACTTTGAAAGTTGAGAAAACAATGAAGTTCTCCTAGGAAAACGGCACATCAAATATTAGAATCTAATTCTGTTATATTGCTTTGAGACAGACAGGCAAGCGAAGTTTCACACCCACCAAGCCGCAGAAACATGCAGACGCGACAAGCGGCACATTCGACGATGCACTCGGTGCTGTAATGAGCACCCAACGCACCTTGATGGCGCTAGCAGCGCACTACGCACGCTCATTCGTCCATTTCGCTGCATGGAAACTCGCTCGAGTGCTTGCACCCCTTGGTTAGCCGTGCCACCGACAAAGTGAGACCAACGATGCCCAATTTGGCCTCCGGTCCTGTCTAAATGGGGAGTATGCGAAGAATATTTTATGTTTCGCGAAACAGGCGAGTTAAGGCTAATTCACACATTTGTGACTGCTTACGATCGTGTTCCTTAAAACCTCTACAAATGTGTCATGCCAAGAAAACACACTTGCACCATCTATTGGGCAACCGTAGAACACTGCAATTTCGTACACAGCAACTTCGCGTGAATAATGTGACCATGCAGCGATTCATTCTGCATGGACACCACGCAATGGACGCTAAAGCCCGATTCACACGATGAGGTTCTGCTCTCCAGTTTTATCCACGACGTTGCTCGAGCCACAAAAGTGTGAATGGTAGCTGCGATGCTCAACGACGATACTGAAAATCGCACGCAGAGCGGACCATGTGAATGGGGCATAACAAGCCAGTGATGGCTACCGGTAACATGATCCGCATCTTCTTGTATTTACTGTTTACGCTGAGCCTACTTATCCTAAACAACCTTCAAATTTAAGAGTGTTTCGGCGCCCGCAGTTACTTCTCATCACAATTACTGCATTAACTTGTGGTTTACGCGCCATTTTCGTTTGAGCGAGCAGACAACAGTTTGTACGAGCAGACGAGTTTGAAAGAGCAGACGACAGTTTGAACGATCGGACGACCATTTGAATGTGGACGCACCGAAGATGGTCCACGGGTGGTCCAGACGACTCAACTGTTTTTGCACATTCATGTTGTAACAAAACAAATAAAACCAATGACCACAGGGCTCTGCGAACTCAACCCAAACTACTCCCACACAAGCAGTCGCGGTCAGTCCTCACCAGGTGAGCGTGTTGCGAAAGGCCACCAGCATGACGATGGCCGTGCCCAGGATGAAGACTGAGCTCTTGAGGGACGACAACAGCTGGGCACGAGGGTTCTGCGGCTCCAGAGGCGCCACCCGGCAGTCCTCGCCGTCTCCTCCCCGCTCGCCCACAGCATCTCCTGCAAAGTGCAGGCGGCACGAGTTACGCCAACTGAACATTTCCTCCCACGCTACGACGACGACGCGTGTGTCGTCCCTGCAGGCACAAAGGTGAGTTCCCTAGTGCACTCGGCTATCAACAATCACGCGGAAGGGCCCGGCATTATCTGCCGATGCGGCTTAAAATAAATTTCTCGTTTTTCCTTGTCAGGTCTATGTCCAAGGACAATGAAAAGCCTACGGGCCAGTTCACACATTTGCATTGGAGTGTACACTCCCGTGCCTTCCGGCCGCTTCAGAAGGCATGTTGGGGTCATCTATTGGCTGACCTTGGAACCCTCCCCATTCTGGTAGCGCTAGATACAAGTTTTGCAGTATTTGCAAGATTAAATCTATGTACTGTATGGTTCACATAACTAAGGGTTTTGTAATTTTGAAGTTCATTTTTCGTGAAGTTCTGAGAGCGTTTTTCCGAGTTTACTTTTCGCCCGTTTATTTGGGGTTATTAATGCTAAATTTCCAAATCTTCAAAATTCTGAATATTTCTTTGCTGTGTCCCTAATTTTTTCGAAACCCAATACAAAAATAATGTCCAAACACAAACATGCCCTAGGTTCACCTGTATCGAATGATGTTTCTTTACCTGGATTTAGCATTACTGCCCTTTCCATTGAAAATACTAATTGCCCCACAGCAAAACTCAAAACACGAGTGCAGTAGATGTTGACGTTTTTAAACCACTGAACACCAAGACATAGCCGCACGCAAGCATAGAAGCACCAGCTGCCCTGCACTCCCCCCCCGCCCCCCCCCCCCCCCCCCCCCCTTTCCTATAAAATTTATGCATTCATATTTGGCAGTCACTATTTCGACTTCCATTGTCAAAATATCTCAAAAAGTATTTCGACATCTGTGACGTTACTTCTGTAAAAGGTAAAATAGTGACTTTATTATTTCTATGTCCTTCTTCAATGCAGCAGCCGTTTCGTGGTAGCCATTTGTGATTTCGTTCTGGTTAGTTCCTGATGGTGTTGTCAGTGTTGTGTTGGCGTTTTGACTGACAGTTTTGGTCTTAGGTGGCGGTTGGCATGTCTTATTCAGTGTGTGAGCGGGACTGGCTCGACAGTTTATCCTTATGGACGTGACACGCCCAGTGGCAATGTTCCCAGATTCTGAGCTCGCATCTCGGCACTCACCTCTGTTAAGATGTTAAATCTACAATAAAGGTGAGCTGGATATCCCTCTGCTTTTCCTGCATGTAACATATGTAAGTGCGTACACAACTTAACACAGAAATTCGGCATGCTTTCTGTGCCTTTATATCGTGCGAGTGCGTCTTTGTATGCTTGCAGTCTTGCTTTGCATCTGGCTCCCATCCTGTTTTTAACCAGGTTTCGTGAGTTTGTTGTTTAGTATAGATTTTGTTTGATTCGTGTATAATGAGAGGGTTAACTACGAAATGATTGGTATGTTAAATAAAAGGTTGTGAAAGCCAACATTGCCTCCTTGATGCTTCTTGACCGGTGCGCACGAACAAACGTTTTGGCGCGGTTGTACGAGATACACGCATGTTCCAATCAACTGCAACTTTTATGACATGGCATTCAGCTCCTCTGTCTATATCATAAAGACCAGGGATGCCACATTCTGTAATGTTTGGCACAACCAAGCAAACACTACTTTTGATCTGATAGCAGATTTACTTTGAGAAGGTCTCTTTGCATTCCACCTCACTTAAAAGATCATAAAAACAGCAGTCGAGTGCATCACATTTGTTTTCGGAAAATAAGTGTCAAACCGCGATGCAGCCTGCGAGCAAGATATTTTTTTACCGTCACCTTCGATCACTTCCCAGTCTGGACTTCAAAGCTTTAAACCTCCAAGTTTCCAAAATAATGACAAAAATATTTTAACAGGGGAGGTCAAAATGTTTTTGAGGATAATTTCATGTCTTCAGAAGGTCAAAATAACATTCAGAATTATTTTGGAAGTGAACATCGAGATAGTCACTGCCTACATAATTTTCCTTATTATAACAATACGACCCCTCCTCCGCCTTTAAGAAGCGCAAATAGTAGGGTCCAAACTGGAAACCAGAACAGTGGCTTTTGCCATGACCAGAAATGCAACGGCCTAATGTCCTGAACGAACTTCAACAAGATACACGAGGTGTGATCGAAAAGTTCCGAGACTGATTTTGTAGCGTAAAAAGAGAGGGCAGCGCAGCGATGCGCGCGCAGCAGTCGAAAGAAGTGACCCTTGTGTCTCGTTTTTCCAAAGGGCGTCTGCTCTGTGAACATTTGGAGTTGCAATACATGAGTTTATTAGACCACATGCACGAGCATAATGGCAATCTCTCCATAGACCACAAACCACAGCGAGAGCAAACAAATTTTACGTCAAACTCAGCAAATCTAAAACAGAGAGCTTTCAACTGATTTATAAGGCTTATGTAAAAAAGCAGTGAGGTGTGCGAGGTGTTTTGAGTGGCACTCGCACCTCAAGAATCACAGAACGTCACTGAAGTCAAGGAGAGGTCGGATAAGGTCGCCCTACCGCTCTTAGTCGTCCATCGGCGTTCTGCCGTTTCTAAAGTGCGAATGCCAGTTAAAGGAGCTGTGCAACGATTTTAACATTGAAAGAATTGGCATGTTCTACTTTTGACATTGTTCATCTTGTCACAAAGGACTGAAAACACATCTCCTTCTTTCAAATCTTGCAATTCTGCCGCGTAATCGCGATGCAAAAATTAAAATTTTCCCCGACCTGCTGTTGCGAGCGGCAGTCAGGGAAAATGGGGGTCCTGTAGAAAGACAGCAAGTTGTGCGAATACCCACTCGGTAAAAGGTAACTTTTCTATCAACCTTGTCGTTCCAACATAAATGCGTCAAAAACCTGGTATAATCGACAAAAGTTTTATTACACAAAGTTTTAGTGGCTCCATCTATCCTAGGTCCACAAAACCAAATTCATTTATCTCAGCCCGCCATTTGTTTCATGGCCCCTTTAAGTTGAGCGTACTTCCAAAAACCCTTTACGAATGGAATAGAGGGCAGTGTGTGGTCACGCGGTCGCGAGCGGATGAGTTCTCCCTGCTCACTGATGGCTCTAGAGAGAGCTTCACCGGAACCCTGTGCGACGACCATTGATGCAGCGCACGTGAGTCTGAAGATGGTGAAGGAGTTGGGAGGTGCTGAAAACCTCAATCTTTGTCCATCTTTAAAATAAAAACTAGGACATGCAGGCAAAAGCGTTTTTTTATTCTTTACCTTCAGAAAGGTCGAGACACCTACTCCCGAATTATTTAAGCAAAGTACCGAAATTGTACCACAGCTCCTTTAAAACACTTCGCAAAATTCACCGCTTTTTGACACAAGCCTGCTGAATCATTTCAAAGGCCTCCGTTTTATATTTGCCGAGTTTGATGCAAAATTGATGTTTGCTCTCGCTCTGGTTTGCAATCAATGGTGAAATCGCCATTTTGCCCCTGCACGTGGTCACAAAAACTCGCGTAGCGCAGATCCTAATTGTTCACAGAGCGACGTCCAGGTATAATGAGGCACGAAGGTCCCTTCCTTTGACTGCTGCGCACGCATCACTGTGCCGCCCTCCCTTTTTACGCTACAAGATCAGTCTCGGAACATTCTGATCACACCTCGTACGTAGGATTTCGTATTTTGGAGTTTATTTTCTGTGAAATTCTGAGGGTGTTTCTTCAAGTTTATTTTTCGCTACCAATTCGGGGATTATCGGAGTTTATATTTATTACATTTCCAAATCCCCGAAATTCCGAGTTTAATTTTACTCTAATATTACTTCTTTTCAAATAAAATAAAAATGTCAGAACAAAAATATACACTACATTTATAAAAAAAAATCACCGGCATCGGAAGATATTTTTGCAGCTGCGTTTGGCACTGGCACCCTTGCGATTGGCAGTATTAACTGTCCCGCAACAAATCTTGACAAGTGTTACTTCAATGAATGCCTGTACTTAGAAATGGCCAAACACGCATAAAACCTTCAGCTGCCCTCCCCCATCGTATGGTATCTACGCGTTTACAACTTTCACTGTTATAAAAACACAACCCCTTCTCGCCCTAAGAAGCACAAATAATAAGGTCCAAACTGGAAACCAGAACAGGGACCTTTGTCGTGGTCCAGAAGTACATGGCCCGTTGTTCTAAACAAACCTTGACGAGATGCGACTTGTGTCTAGGGTTACGACTTAACTTCGCCATATACAGTTTCAAAGTGCAAATTGTGTTTGTCAATATTGCAAAAAGCAAAACAACAAAACCTTAAGTGGTCTTTACTTAGAGCTACCATCCCTGCGCTCTGACACACTTTATTAGTAAAATGCTGTCTTTTTTTCGCTTCGTATCTTGCCATTGTGACTTCAAAATCCGAGTTTTTCGGATAAATCCGAATTGCCAAAAAATTTATACTGGCAAGTGTTTTTCGGAGTTAATCGAATTTATCCGAAAAACAATGAGCCATAGATGTACGGTAAACCCCTCGGTGAGAAACTGAGCAAAAAGGAGGAGAAAAGAATGTGTGGTAACATCCGAAAGCCAAGCTCCCATTGGGATGAGAGTAGGTCGACGCAAAGGCTGCAATTATCACGCAGATCAATAGTGACAGATGGGCCAGTTGGTACATGACTTATTTTGACAAAATGCGCCGCAAGACAGGGACGGAGTAAGACAACACAAACATTCAGTTGAAAGTAGCGCTTCTGTTGTCTGCCCCTGTCTTGCGGCGCATTTTGTCAAAATATATCACGCAGAGTCTGGTGTTCAAATGCCAGACTGCGCAATGAGCAGACGATGTTCTTGTTCGCTCTGACTGGAGGGAGGCAGTGGGTAGAGGACAAAGGCAGCTAGCCTGTGCGCCTATCCACTAATCCTTCCAATCAGAGCTCTGTGCTCTAACGCCGCTGCAAGCTTTCATCTCCCCTACCCAAGTTTGTCAATTTATAATCCGAGGTTCGAAAAGAAACCAAAGTAACCTCTCCTCA